GATTTGCCATTGAGGGCATTGTAAAGGTCAACTGTCAGCGTATCCAGGACAGAAAGACTAGAAGAGGAAGAGGGTTCATTTAGGAAACATACCTGAGTAGAAGAAGAAGATGGCTCAAAGAAAGTAGATGCTTCTGAAGATCCTTCATCTGCATCTATGGCCATCAAGCAGATATAGGCTTTATTCTCTTCACCTGAGGATGATTCATCGGATGACTCAGCCCAGCCATGCTCTTTAGCAATAAGGCCTTTAGCCTTTCGCTTGTTGTTCTTCTTCTTCCTGTACTTCTCTTTCAGTTTTGAGTATTTCTCATCTTTGGTCCTGAAGGAGGAAGGAGCTTTAGAAGATGGCGTCGCGGTCTTCTTTGATCTGCATTCACCTGCAAAGTGTCCGGGCCGGTGACAGTTGTAGCAGACAGCTGAAGCCTCGTCTATTATTTCAGACTTTGGCTTTTCCCTAAGGGACAGCTAAGGAGATCTGTGGAAATTGCTCTTACTGGTGAACCTCCTAAATGACTTAGTCAAGAGTGCCAGGGACTCATCAAAATCTGATAAATCAGATTCTGGAATGTCCTTAGAGATAGAAGAGTCTATCTCTGTGATAACAAAGGGAGGAAGAGAATAGACAAAAGAAGTAGAAGAAGTTTCAACTGAAGAAGCTTCAAAAATAAAAGCCAAATGAGAGCTTTTCATTTCCCTGGAATCTTTTACAAGATTCCTTTTCAGTTGACGAGATTGCTCATGGTTAAACAGAATCCCGTATAAAGTAGAAAGAGAAAGAATGGACATGTCATTTGACATCTTGAGACACATGGAAAAGGTGTCCCAAGACTCAGGAAGACATTCTAGAAACTTGGTTAAAGTTTCAGAATTAGAATATTCCCTGCCGACAACCCTAAGATCAATAAGAAGGCAGTTAAATCTTTGATGTACTTCAGACAGCATCTCAGACTTTCCATAGAGAAAGCTTTCATACTGTCTTACTAGATTGATCTTTCTGGTCTCTTGAACCTGAGTGGTTCCTTCATATTGGACATAAAATGTGTCCAACATGGATTTAGAAGTTTTGAGTTTCATCACTGAGTGATAAATATCATCAGGAAAAGACATAGCTATTATAGACCGAGCACGTGTGTCTATAGCTATTTTATTCTTGTCTTCATCGTTCCATTGATGTGGGAGCTTTGGAATCTGCCGTTTAGGAATCGCGGCAGTCGTAGCTGTTGCTGGAACAGCCAGAGCAATAGTAAATGGAATATATGGTCCATTTTCTATATAATGTGGAATTTCAGGATCCACACCTTCAAGAAAGAGGGACATCCGGTTCTTCCAAAGACTAAAATTGTCACGGACAAACCAGGGAGGTTTGGCAAGAGAGCCATTGTCTTTTGTGCGTGTGTTTGTAAATTGTAAAGCCATTTGTAAGCGGTAAAGTTATCTAAGAAAGGAGATAAACTAATACTGAAAAAAGCTAAACAGAAAGAGAGAGAGAGAGAGAGAGAGAGAGAGAGAGAGAGAAAGCATTGCTCTGATACCACTTGTTGGTCCCTTGAGGGTCTACAAGAATAGTAAAATAGTTTATAGAAGGGGGGGATGAATACAAACACAATATTTTCAAATTTAAAATATATATTGATAAAGAAGATCAATACAGATTTTACAAGATTGTTTGCGGAAATATAAGGTGATAAAAACCTATCTAAACATTCTTTGGTTACACACGAAATCTTAGCAATACAAGAAAAGAAATGCTGTAAAGAAGATCATTTACTTAAGCTAGAAAATGCTTGAAGTAAGAATTAGGGTTAGAGAGTGAGTTGCGTGCACTCTGCATGGAGAAGAAACACTTCTATTTATACCCAGTGCATTAAATGTTCATTTAAAGCAATATGGTAGGGTTAGAGTACATGTCAAGCCTTAAGAGGAAGGCTTGTCCTTTGCTACAGTGAATAGTACAAAAAACACTATTCATGAGCAGACATTCATACCTAAAGTTGGTGGACAAAAGAGTCAACTAGTCGGCTCTGTACCGTACCAACTTTCATAAGGGTATGGGTTTGTCTTTTGTGTGCATAAGGACAAGACAACAACAATCGTGCTAAGCAAGCTCCTTTGATCGCTGAATGCTGGAATGACCTGAAAGTCTCTTCATCATTCGCTGAGGCTTGAGCAGTCTTCACACATATGTAGACAGACTTGTAATCACTGAGTATCGTTTCAGATCACGTACTCGCCAGTCTCTAATCTCCAGTTTCAGTCTACGACATTTGCTGAAGGTTCTTTGGTGTGAGTGTAGTTTTCTTGAAGTATCGCTGTTTCTGATAGATTTACAATACAAGTTCTTCAGCGATCACTGAACATGCTCAGTGAAGATCGCTGGAACTAAAAAGACAGAAACATAAATACAACATATAAGTGAAAATGGATTATCATCAAATCACTGAGAGAAAGGATCAACAGTTAGTAATTTGAATCTCATATTCAATTAATATTTGTGTATTTTTTGGGGTAAGGGGACGGAACCTCGGAAAAATTTATTCATATAATGATAAAATTACAATTACGAGAGACATACCCCAAGAAGCGGGAAAAAGAAGTGCATTCCAAGGATATGTTTAGGAAAAACACTAAGGGGCTGTTTACCAAATTTTCTATTAAGTCCTGTATGGATAAATTTATCTGTCTGGATAAATTTATGTTGTTGTTTACTTTTCTATTTGAATCAACAGTCTGAATGATAAAAATGACCAATTTACCCCTGAGGATGAACTACGCGCTATTTAATAAATGAGAACCAAAAAAACGCAAACAGCAGCTACGGTAGCAACAAATATTAACAGGTAAGCAAATACTAACAGCTCTAGTTATGTCCCCAAGAATTTCATCCTAGAGTGATCATTAACAAGTAAGCAACACATCTTCCTTGATGGTGTAACCATAGCAAACATTAACAGGTAAGCAAACAACAAATATTAACAGGTAAGCAAACATGAAATCTCAGCAAATAGCTTAAGCAAACAGCAGCAAATCCCGACAGCAAACAATAAAAATTAACAGCAGCAAACAGCAAACAGCAAATAGCAAAAATTAACAACAGCAAATACCGATTAGGGTTCTTTGGAGGAGAAGTATAGTAGTTACGTTTGGAGAAGAAGAGGGCGTCAATCGATGAAGAAGAGAGCAACAACCGATTAGGGTTCTTTGGAGGAGAAGAGGGTCGTCGATCGATAGAGAAGAGACCTTCGATTAGGGTTCTTTGGATCGATGGAGAAGAGACGTCAGTAGGGTGTTTTGTTGAAAGAGGCGCGACAATAGTGTAAGGGTAGGGCAAGTCTTTTGACTTGGCTTAACCTGGACAACGCAGGTTTTTCATCTGGGCGAATAAGCCCATTTCTGAGCGAATAAGCCCGAGGTAAACAACCTATTTTGTCTGTCCGAATAAGCCAGTTTATCCACTAAGCTCATTAAGTCTCAAGTAAATAGGCCCTAAGTAAAGGCTTATTTCTAATAACCAAAATAGCATTTATAAGCCAACAGACCCAAATTGACAAACTATCCAGAAAACTTATGGAGTGGTAAGCCCAACACCAGCATTTTGGCCCATCCTGAAGAAGCCCAACAAATGCTCTAAAAATAATTATGATATTAAGAGATTGAGAGAGTATTCTTGGAACGTTAAACAAATTCTTCTATTTATACTCCAAAATTTCTCCAATAAGAACAAACTGAATCTTATCAAGTGCTACAACTGAGTTCTTGAAAGAGAATAAATATTATCCAAAAATTTCGTTTCCAACATGGACACCAAAATATTATTCAATAAATAGTATTTTATATGTTTTAAAATAAATGTTTATATTTCTATTTTAATTTGTTTCAAAATAATTATTTAGTTTTAAAGATAAATCGTCTGTTTTTCTATTTTTCTTAATTATGTAATGGAAAAGAAATTCTTTTTTTAATTATTTAGGGTAATTATTTAGTTAATTAAAAAAATATAATACGTAATTCTATGTCTGGTGAAAACAAATATCAATAAATATACGATAATTTTTGTCTTCAGGATTTTTTTCAAAAGTTATAATCACCAAATAAAGATAGATGGCACATGAACTAGAATTAAGGGTGCTTAAAAACCCGATGAACCTAATTCAACCCAATGTGAAATAATTTAACACAAAGCAATACGATGTCTAATCGAATTGTAAAATTTTCAAATTGTAGGTATTGGATTGATATTGGGTTACTATTATTTGAACTCAACCCGACCCGATGAACCCGATATGTATTTATTTCTTGGATAAAATATGATTGTTGAATTTCTATCAATATATACATTAGACAATTACACTATCACGTATGCTCTTTATATACACATATTTTCAATATATTCACATCTTTATATAACTCATTCGTATATATATTCATTAGCTATAAACATATATGTGTAAATTGAGAAAATTAACTAAATGTGATATACGTAAGAAATATGGATAAGTTGTATCAAATGGTTGATGATGAAAAAGAAAACTAGTAGATAAATAACATATTTAATGTTAGAAAAATATTTTAATGTACGTACCAAGGTATCAACCCGACTAACGTATACGGTTTAAGTTGAGTTGGTTAAGATTTTTCAAACCGTAAGCATTAGATTGGGTTGTTTGAACGTGTTCAACCCGATCAACCCAACCCATGAGCATCCCTAACCGAAACTACCAAATTACCACAGGAAATTAACGAAAGCAGTATGAAAAGACTAAAATGCCCCTGAATGTGTTGCTTATTTTCAATCTGATGCCACAAGTCAAATGTATTTGTTGTTCTTCTTCTTCTTTGTTCCTGTGATTATAATAATCATTTAATTAAACAAATGTTTCATTAAAAAAACTTGAAACAAATCGAAGATGATCAGAAGAGGCACAGAGGGAAAGAGATCATCATCGTCTTCTTCTTCTCTCTTCTGGTTTCCCCAATTGTATCTTAAGCTTTCTGATTAAAATGGGATTTTGGGGGTTGTTCGAAGTGGCATCCATGCCGATATTGCAGGTGTTGATCGTAAGTGCAATCGGAGCTTTCATGGCTACTGATTACCTCAATCTTCTTCCTACCAACACTCGCAACTCCCTCAACAAGGTGATTCCTCAATCGATTTACTATTTTCTCAATGTTCATTGTTAATGGCGGATCCAGGATTTCGATATTAGGGTTTCATCAGTTTCGAAGAAACCAGCATTTGCTAACCGTAATTATTATTTTACTATAATAATTGAAATAACATAAATTATCTATATCATATTATAAGAGGTATTTGAGATTGTTTATTTGAAATAACTTATGTTTTTCTACAAAAACACTTATCAATTTATTATAAGCCAGAAAGGTTTAACTTCTTTAAAAACTTCTTATTATCGGTTTGGAATCGGTACAAGTTGTTTATCTAAACACTTAAAAGTGCTTATTACCGTTATCACCCCGAAATAAGTCAATAAGTTATTTTTATAAGTAATCTCAAACACCCTTAAAGCATTTGACAAAAATCTTAATACAATTTTTTATACATGAAGTACTGTTTATTGATGTATATTACTTAAATTCAAGATTATAAGTAAATTATGCATAAGTACAACTTATTAAAGTTTCATGTAACTAACTGCAGATAAATATAATTAAATAAAAGATAAACATCTCATTTTAAATATAAAAAATTTAAAATATAATTAGGATATTCATTAACTTCAAACAAAATACTTAATTATTATTTGTATAAAAAAATATTATTAAACAAAAAACAAAAATTAATAATTAAAGAAATACACAAAAAATGGAGAAATTTTAAATAGTTAGTTTAGTATTAATATCAATATTTTTTTCAGTTTTTTTATCATATCATCATATTTATATTTTATTTAAAAATAAAAACATTACGCTTTTTCAAAACCACATAAAATCGTATTATAACATCGATCGAGACAAAGAAAAAGAAACATTAAAATCGAGATGTATTTTGTTACATTGTACAAATACCATTCTAGTTATGTTATTATTATAAGATAACTGTTTTTGTTTTAAATAACATAATTTATTATGGAAAAAATAGAAAATTAAGTAATAATTATGTTTTGCCTATAATAATTGATTATATAATATTATCTCTATGTTATAATAAAATAAATAAGTTATTTTTTTATAAAAAGATTAAAGATAGTTTTAGATTTAAAATCACAATATTTTGGTGTTATTACAGATAATATCGTATTATAGCGGTGAAATAACGGACAACCGTCACGGACAAAATAATGGTTTATGAATTGCAGTGTCTCATAGCAATACTGGTAATAGCGGCCGCTATTATCGCAATTGAGTTTGTCTTTTCAAGCCCTTTTTTAATAAGATAAAAATAGTCCCAACTCCCGACCTTTGAAAGCCCAGTTGGGCTTTAGGTGTGAAAAAGGGCCTACTCGGGCTTTCGGTGCTTCCTTAGATCTAAAACTCCGTTATCCCAAAATCCCCCTTTCCATGAAAGAAGATAAATAATTACATATGAATTAAATATAATAATAGGGAGGGCTAAATCCACCCTTATATAGTTATATGTTGCTAAAGGGAATTGCTATATGCGTTTTCTTTAATGTCAAAATCAGGTCAGATCATGCATTGAGATCCTAAAAAAATGAGTTTTAATATTGATTTGAATGAGGAGGGAATTACTATGTAGGGGTGTATTTAGCCTATTCAATTGCTAAATATACCTCTACCTACTAATTTACTCCTCACACACATTAATAATCAAGATTTATTTTTTACATTTGTAATATATGATTTGACTTGATTCTGACATAATATGTTTTCATCTGTTTGATGGGACATAATTTGACAGGACACAATAGTTACTGATAACAGAATTTTATTCAACAAAACTTTTGCATTTGAATGCTTTTAGAATGATGGTTAAAAGAATCTTTAATATTTGCAGATTGTGTTTGTGATATTTACTCCCTCACTTATCTTTGCAAGCCTTGTGGAGACTGTCACTTTTGAAGACATCATCTCATGGTAAAAATCTGTTAATCCTCATTTCCTTCTAAATATAGAAATATACATTTACTTATTTTTGACCTAAAAAATAGACATATATTTCTATTTCGAAATATATATCGTCTATGAACACCCCCGTTTACACTTCGTTAAGCAAATACGACTCCATTTACCAACGATCATACGTATTGAAAACATGACCCGTGATAATATTCTCGAGTGTTTTTATTTCTAAGGATATAATGGTCGTTTCACATTCGTAGCCTACTAACGATGTAATGATCACCGGAAAGCAAACCTGATATCTTACCGATTGAGCTACTACAAAAGATTTACCACGTCCTACGTTGTGTCAAAATTAAAAGTGAAATGACTAATTACCCACTGATGTTATGTCCATGCTAATTAATTAAAGAGAAATGTTGCATATCCTGTTAATTTGGTGCATTTTAATTTTTTTGCAGGTGGTTTATGCCAATAAATATTGGATTGACATTTTTATGTGGAGGAATATTGGGATGGATAGCAATAAAACTAATTAAACCAAAGCCTCACTTGGAAGGCCTCATTATAGCTATGTGTTCAACAGGTACATTTCGGGTTAACATCAGTCGGGATCAAATGAGAACAATCATCAAATAAGAGAACGTGAGAATAGCCAAATCACATGTATTTTACATTAAGCTCGCGTGTAAAATCACATGTGATTACGCTCCAAGTCACCCTTGCTTTGATCGTGTTTCTCGTAATCTCATGTGATTTCAAACATGTGATTCTGCAGTGACATTCTCAAACCTGTCAGAAGGTCATGGATTTAAAAGAAAAAAACATGTAAGAACGGTCTTTTAACCAAAGAACCCTAGGAAATTACGTGTACGTTGTAAAGCCGAGGAGTCTTGATGCACCGGGGTCGACTTTTTAACCGTTAGATTTTGGTTGTTTAGTTTCTTCACTTGCATTCTCTATGGAAAATTTAGGAAATTTTGCAAATCTTCTGTTGATTATGGTGCCCGCAATCTGCACCGATGATGGCAGCCCATTCGGAGATCATAGCATTTGTAAGGCTAAGGGACTCTCTTATGCATCGTTTTCCATGGCGGTAAGCCTGTTCTTGGTTTGGTTTGGTTGGTGATTTTACCAAACCGTTTGAAACTCTACTTTCGAGCAGGATATACTTAGTTTGGTTCGGTTGGTGATTTTGCACAGTTGGGTAGTTTCTACACATGGACATGTACTTACCAGATGGTCCAAGGCTCGGCTTTGAGGTTCAATGCAATGAAAGAAACCGAGAAATTATTGAATGTGGCAAGTAACGACTTGGATACGAATCAAAACACCCGTCTTCTAAGTAGAGAAGATCCTGATCATATTGATGGAATCACGCCTTCGTCAAACTTGACTAGCAGCGATACTGAAAACCAGCATGTAAGAACTTCTTCACTTATATTCTCGAGCCTAATGCATCATCGTTATGCAATTGGCATGAGTGTCCGGGCGCACACCTAGACTAATCCCAAGGGGCCCTGAAGATAGCAGCCGGTGGTCGAACCGGTTACCTATGGGGAGGACCCGCAAGGCCTAGCCTTTGTTTGGCAGTTGAGCTGGCCCGAAAGGTTAAACCTGTGGAAATATAAATGCTTAACAAAAGCAAGCTTATCGTCCACGTCTTTGTTTGCAGATCGTGTATCAAGGTTCATCAGGGAATGAAGCGAAAAAAGATGGGTCGTTTTCGGATCGATTAGTAGAAATACTAAAGAAATTACTAGAGCAACTACTAGCTCCGCCGACCCTTGGCTCTGTAAGTGTAACGTTCTATCCCACGTTGGGGTGTTAATGAGTTGAGACAAGTAACAGGTTGTTTGAGCTCGACTCGAGAAATTCTATCAGGCTCAAGCTTGGGCTTAATAACTTTTCAAAGTTGTGCTCGAGCTCAAGCTCGAATACTTTTCCAATGTTCGATCTCGAGCTCGATTAACAAATTTGAGTTATATATTATACCTAAAATTCAAACTTTATAAGCTCATTTATGAGCTCGAACTCGAGATCATTAACTCGTTTATCAATTTGAGCCCGCTATATTTATATTTTAATTATATGATTTATGAACATGTTTGGCTCGAAAAAGTGTGAGCTCGAATGGCCCATTTCGGCTCGACTCGACTCGACTTGACTAGAAAAATTTAATCGAGTTTTCAAACGAGCATAGTTCAACATTGATGTTATGGAGCTCGACTTGTTAAGTTAAACGAGATTTATTTTGTGTTCCAAATCGAATCGAGAATTAATTAGCTCGAGTAACTCGTTAAAAGCTCGAATCGTTAAAGCCCTTTCCTATGCTTACATAAAAATACGATAACCTTTAGTTTGCAGGACTCGTGTTCGGGGCAATCCCATGGGTAAAAAGCCTTTTAGTCGGTGAAAAAGCTCCTTTACGAGCGCTCCAAGACTCCATAACGTTACTCGGGTACCCATAATTCAAATTTCCGTACCGTTAAACCTCTAAAATTATAACGTATATGAAATATTTGATTTTGATGTTTTTTTGTTCTTGTTATAGGGATGGAACCATACCTTGTCTCACTCTTATATTAGGAGGAAACCTCACACAAGGTATAAAATGGATTTAAAATTGGAATTGTTTCGGAGATTCAAATTTTAACCATTAAATTGTTACAGGTCTACGAAAGGCAAGCATGGGGCCCACGATCGTTATGACGGTCATCATTGTTCGTTACTTGATTCTTCCCATAATTGGCATCGGTGTGATCAAAATGGCGGCAACTCTCGGGTTGCTTCCGTTGGATCCCCTTTTCAGATTCGTGTTGTTGATCATGTTTGCTCTGCCTCCCGGCGTGAATATCAGTAAGCATTAACAAAAATATCTAATGATCCGGTGTGCGTGTTTGAGTAAAGTAAGAACGAGTGTTTGACTTTTGAAAGTCAAACAGGCTACGTTTCGACTTACCGATATCGAATTTATAGGATTTTTTTTATGAAATTAAGAGAATGAAATAACGCAGGTACAATGTCACAGTTATTTAATGTTGGGCAAGAGGAGTGTGCGATGCTTATGATGTGGACTTACTTGGCTGCTGCTTTTGCACTTACAACTTGGTCAACTATTTATATGTATATTTTGTCATGAAAACTTATGTCACATGATCCATTTGTTCTTTGATAGTTGTTTTATTTTGATTTTGAATTTTAAATATAAATCATGTTCATGTTCATTCATTTAACTTAACTGAACAAACGAACAAGAACGGTAAACGAACGAAAATCTTTGTGTTCGTGTGCGTTCGTTTAGAAATCATGTGTGTTCGTGTTCGTTTATGTTCGTTTGTTAACATGTTAAACGAACGGGCTAAACGAACATAAATAAATATTATTTGAATTCAAAGTAAATAAATAAAAGATTATATATTAAATTTAATATATAAACAAACGTAAACGAATGGAACTCTTGTTCATGTTCGTTCGTTTAACTAAATGAACAAAAAAAAATTATTCATGTCCGTTCATTTATTAAATAAACGAACTTCCTGTTAAACGGTTCGCTGAACTTTCGGTTCGTTTACAACCCTAGTATCAATAGGAGGTTCAAATAAGAAACTTAAATGTTGTGAAAAAAGTAAGAAGTGAAGGTTTATATGTGAGTATGTGAATTCATATGAATAATATGTGATCTTGTTTTTCAAATGCATTTTTTGATAAGATTTATATATTTTCACTATTGTAATTGCCACTGTAGCACGTGTGTGACCAGCAAAACTGATGCTTGTATCATAACACAGATATTCATTTAACAAAATATAATATAAGCGGACCCTACTTCTTACCATTTCTATTTAATAGTCAAAAATTGAAGGGCTCCAACTTAAGAGTAATTCAAGTCAAACAACATGATTGGTTTTATAGATTTTAGTTTTAGTCCTCAAAGAAAGATTGGTCACACACAAATACATTGAACTTGTAGCTTTTGTCATTTGAGTGTGAAATCTAAAATGAATTCTTTGGGACAATTTTAGTCCAAACAAATAATAGATTTTGGGGTTCCTTCTCATAGGTCATTATTCGAGTCTTTTTTAAGAGGATTTTTTTACTGTTATTTTCAGGGTTTTATTGGATTAGTTGATGTCGCAAAGTGACCCAACCACACATTCAACAAAAAAAAGTGGGGTTGTCTATTTAGTAGTAGAGATGCAGAGTATCCACTTTGGATTAATGATCTTGGGCCTGGTCTGTCAACTAAAAATCCAATTTAGTTTTTAGACGAGTGTTAGGTTTAAAGCTAGGACTTGGTCTGGGACCCAACAATCCTAATTGGTTCTTGACTAGTCAGAACAAGAGCAATGGTTTTTTTGTTGTTTGCTTAAAAAGGTGGATCTGTAGCTTCCATAAAAGCCTAATCTTCAAAACTGGGTTTTTGATCAAGCTTAGACAATTCTTGAGTTTGGTCCTTATCCGAATGTTTGACTCTTAACCGGTCTTTAGTTGAAAAATAGGACTGTTGCACGCATAAAGGACCAGACCAATCTTTAAGCAGTCTTTTTTGATCCGGGACTCCAGATTTGGTACTCTGGAATTTTGTGTACGTCTCTATTAGTGGTCACATTTGACCACATTAGAAGGTTAATTTAGTCGATCATGACCATCAAATTTCTATTTTTGGTTGTGCTTTATTTTAACATACGTTAGCAATCAATACAATTTTGTATGTCTAGTACGAATATTTAATATGGATATATTTGTACACATAACGTATTTTTGCTAGTTGATGTTTCTTGCTTTCCTCTTGTTGTAGTTGTTGTCCTCATCACTTCCATCGACTATCTTTATTTCTTTTCATATTGATATCTTTTTGACACCCTACACGAGACCAGTTATCTTTATTAACCATATTCATATCTTGAAACATGAATCTGATGCTCAAAATTGTCATTAAATGAACGTTGCTTGGTTATCAACAAATATGGGAATAACTAGTTGTCACAAGTCTTACTGTTGGCTCATTTTAGGGCATGATTGTGTGGTTTTATATCAACAAAAGTATGGTGACAAATCCTATAGCATCGACAGTCGTCACAGTAGACCTTTTGGGTCAATATTGACACTTGCTGATGAAGGTCATGACAATTCTTACATGTATATAATCCACACATGTATATACTTATGTAGTGTTTGGTTCGCGGATTCTGAAGGAATCTGATGGAATTAATATGTTGAATACATTTGACCAAATTTCATTCTCTTGTTTGGTTCATTCTTTTTTGAGGAAAGAATCTCTAAAATCCATCAAATTCCACAAATGAAGGATTTAAACATTCGATGACATAGATGTGGTATTAAATATTAATATTTCATAATTTCAAATATAACCTTAACCTCAAGTATACTCTAATCTCAAAGAAAACAGCCGTCACCATCCTTTTCTTGTCTTCTAGGTTTTTCCCTGCTCTCTCATCTTCTCCATTGCAACACCAACTCACCACAGGTTCGATTTCTCTATTCTCTATTTGATTTGGTCTCAATTTCTGCTCGAAAACTACATATGGTTTTGGTTTCTACTCGATTTGGTTTCGATTTTTGCAAGAAGGGGGAGTCTAAGAGAATGTGTATCTCAAATCAATTTAGTAATGTAATTTGGTTTATGGTTATTTTTGGGTTATGCATTTTATATTGTTTTATATATTATATGATTATTTCATCAAAGTATTTTTAGTATTAAGACAAAGTTGTTCAAAATTTTCAAAAAAGGGTATTTTGATCATTTACCAACATTTCGTTTCAATTCCAAAGCTACATTCTGTAAACCAAACAGATAAATTCCAATTTATTTAACATGTTCCATTTCAATGTTTGACCATTTAATGTCTGTCAACCAAACAAATAGTCAAACATTATAACATTCAATTCTAATTCGTTCAAAATCAAATTTCTTTGACAGATTTCATTTGATCCAAAAACATTCTATGAACCAAACGTCACCTTAGGATTATTTGGTTCGCATAATTCAAATAGATTTGATGTAATTGAAATGACAAATTCCTTGATCATGTTTGGTTCGCGGACTGAATTGATTGGATTCTGCCGAATTCCACGGCTAAGGGATATTATCATTCCTTGACATAAGTGAATGACTTGAATTTCATTTCATGGCAAATGTTATAATTTGGTTTTTTAAAGACAACAAATAATTTTTGCATCCAATTTAATTAACACCCCCAACCCCATCACCCCGACCACCCTTTCCACCCCCCACCACACTATTCCCACCGTACGCCAACATATCCAACCCCCATCGTCATCGTTACCATCTCCATCATTGCCAATTAGTATTATCATTCCACCACCTTGACCCACCTCGCCTGGACTCCCACCCACCCTCAACCCAAACATACCTCACCTTGACTCCCACCCACCCCAACCCTGACACTACCACACAACTATTATCGTCATCACAACCCCCAACACATGTAGATTCCAATTCTTCTTCTTTTTTGAAATTCCGTTCCAATTCCTACCAACCAAACTAGTTGTCAAAAAATCCATTTCAATTCCTTCAAAGTCAAATCCCTTGATGGATTTCAATTTCACCAAATTTCTTTTTGTGAACCAAAGGCCCCCTTAGTTAATATTTAACAAATGTATCTAGGATCTAAAAGTTGAGCTACATGTGTGCAAAAATCGTTGTAAATGTTATTAGTAAGATCGAACATCACTATAAATAATAAATTCATAGTGACCAAATCTTGTTCTGAATGCAGGTTTCTAGATATCCTCCTTCTGAACGCTTAGTTGATGTACCATGATCTCATATCAATCTTCGAGAAATAACATGTGCCCTAAAGTTGATCGAACAAATCACTGATCCTTACAATTGTATATTTGTTCTTAATCATGAGTTTATTCGTCTCAAATAATCAATGCTTATTCGCCTCAATCCATCTTTCTTCTTAATAATAATATTGGTGCTCTCTATAAAGACAAATGATAAATCCATATTCAACAGATCTTGTAGATGTTTCATCAATTATTGTGTCTTAGACGATGCTAACCAGTAGATGTCTTGGCAAATGACCCACCCAGGCATTAAGTTGATTTGGAACTCTACTTGACGTTTTGACAACACATCCGACAAATAATCTAGAAACAGCTTTGGATACTCTCTTACTAAAAGTACATCTTGTGCCGTCTCTTTCTATTTCTTGAGAATATCTGAATAGGTACATCTAGTACAAACTACACGTAAGTTTCCCCTTTTCATGCAAATTTACCCATCAAAAAGAGATGCATACAGGAACATAACGAACTTCATATATCCCTTTTCCACTCAATTCAGAGAACAAGATCAAACGTTATTCCAGTTTGTTTGCATTTTAGTGAAACTCTTCCTCAAGCAAGGCAACTGATAAGTTTCGACTAAGAAGATACAAAAGTTTTTCTCGATTGGTGGACTAAAATCTTACCCAGTAAGTAATTAATAGTGTTGAATTTTGCCGGTAAACACTTATCTGGATACGTGTTTGGTAAACGGCCCTTTAGTTTGCTCCTTTAAATAAGGATATATTTTTAACAATCCACTTTGTAAGGCCGTCAACTGGTCATCATAATTTACCTTGTTGGAGGTAAGGAGAGATTTTCTAGATACGAAGGACTGAATTTGTACAAATCAATAATCCGGGGGTCGAAAATAAAATATATGTCAAATTTCCGCGGTGATTTTCTGAAAAATGGTTGCTCCGGTTGACTGAAATCAACAAGACAACCGAGAGGAACACGGCTTCAGAGATGCTTGAATTGTACAGCCGGAAAATCCTTCGAATCTTCCTTCGGTTAATTCTTCATCCCCGCTGATCTTTCATAATCCGCTTTCGAAGTTTTCCCAGATCATATTTCAAGTTATCTTTCCCCTAAATTATCATGATTTGCTAGCAAATTGAGTTCAATTCAACTCTGTTTGTTAGCAGCTTCAATCTCAACCAATGAAGTACACCTTGATTCGCGCTTTATTTGCCAATTTCTTGCTCTTTTTTCTGTTGTTTGGATCGAGTGATGGCGTTCCAAACTTGGAAATCTCGAATGTCAATCATGCACCAGCGCGGCGGTCTCTATTATCTTTTCCGGAGTAAGTTTTTCTTCTTTTGTAGTATGTTAATTTGAGGTTATCGACTAATAGCATCGGATGGAAAATCCCCTCTTTCACACACACAGGGGGGCTTGCTGCCCTTATGTTTTCTCGTTAGTTTCTAATTCTTAACCTTAAAGCATACAATAGTGTTTCTATATGACCGTCATATGAGGTTCTCCCTCAATTAAATTGAGGTAGCTTTGTTTAATTGCTAAATATGCATCTTTGTCAAAGTGAAAATGTACACTATTGATCCATGCTTCTGCAGGTATTTGGGATTTATAAGATTTGACCCTTTTGATTGGATGGTAAACACTCATGTTTGAAGAGTGAATCCTGGAGACCACCAAACTCAACATTTGTTTTTTTATCAATAGAGAAAATGTGGTTGTGAGGAGACAGAATGTGTATCAGCTGTCATGCTTTTTCTATAAAAGAAAGTTGTGGTCAATTTGATGGTAGGTTGGAAGGAAGCTATAGATTTGCCCCATGTTGAACCCCCTTTCCCCAATAGAATCTCAAAGGGGCCTGAAAATGTAATAGGCGTAATAGGCTGCTATTACTATACTGTAGGCTTGCTTCTTCAAGTTCCCCCCCTCATTGAAAACAGAACTAACGAGTAGTGAATAGTGATAACAAGCTGAAGTATTCAAGCTCCGCCCGTTATTGAAAACGAAACTAACGAGCAGTGATCCCAAGCTGAAGTATTAAAATGAAATTTGTAAGCTGGTGGCCGCGTGTGAATTCTTTCAAGGCAAGGGGCGGCCTGATTTGACATTACCTTACCCCCTCCCACCTTCCCTTTTCGCTTCGTATACTCCACTCGTTCCCTTTCTTTCAAAGGTGTTCAACTTAGCATGATTTTGGTGTGATCTTGCTTACTCTAATTCCCATTATCTTATTTCTCTCCAGTAGTGAGGATAGATGGTATAGCTGAGGTGATGAGATATTGATGGGGTAAAAGCACAAATAATGGAACACATATAAGTTACGTTTGAAACTCCAATAAGATAGCTTGACATTGTTATTGGATTAATATCTGTTTGAACCTTGAACTAGATGAGCTTGGATTGAAGTTACAAACGTTGGAGGCCAAGCTCTAAAAACCCTACCATAACATTAGTTTAAATCAAGGCAATAACATGGGAGAAATTGTGGGACCAAAGTTGAGCACAGTTTTTATTCTTGGACCAAAATTTATAGTGATATTTTGCTTGCAACAAAAGAAGTAATTTACCCATCTTTATTGTTTAGTTCATTTTTTTCAATTCCCTATTGATATTTGATTTGATATGGCTTGGTATGGTTGTGGTTATGTAGTTTAGGATCGAATGATTCTTAAATTAAAGTAGGTCAATATGTGTGTGTTGTGTCCAAAACCATGTGATGCAGTGCGGCACATTGAATGGTTGAATTGAGGCAAGCAATTCAAAGTTAACCGGGCAAAGGCAATATTACCAAGAGGATTGCGTAAAATTGGAATATGGATTAATTGAAAACTCTAAATAAGCACCCGATTTATGCTTCATTTTTTAATTTTATGAGAAATATTATTCCTCCGTCCGATGAAAAATGTCCACTTCACAATTTTTCTGTCCTAAAAACATTAAATCTTTTAACATTAAGGTAAATTTGATTATCCTAAATTACCTTGCTTCTTTAAAGAACATATAAGAAGTTGTTTAGTTGATTTGTATGTAATCACGAGTGAAATACTTGAAACACTTTGTCTTCAGATTCCTTCTAGATTTTAAGGTGGTCTTTTTCTGACAAAGGAAAAACATAGGGGATCACAACTCTATCTTAATTGAGGTTGTCATCTTTTTTAAGAGTTATGCAAGTCTATTTTCACTAACGTTGTTACCCTTTTTAAGAGTTAATGAGTTTTTCAACTATCATACATGTACTTTCATTGCAAAGTAATCATTGTACTTTCTGAATGCACAAATAACACTAAAGCATGCCAAAATGAGCAAATCTATGCATCTTCCTATGGTTATTTTGCAACAAAAGTATAATTATGATAATTAGAATGTTACTTTGACATACTTTAGTGTTTGTTTGCGTTTTAACAACTAGAATGGTTAGCTTGTGAAATACATAGAAATTGATTGTTTAAAATCTCATTTACTCTTTAGTTAAGGTTCCTCTGGGTAGTTGACTAGTATATGGTTCTTCGTTGGATTGCACTACATTTACCAGGATAACACGTTTATACATGAGCTGAGTGTTGTGCTCAACAACTTGCAAATCTTAGTATTCGGATATTGCTTATTTCAAAGGCTTGATTGAGTTTAGTTGCATCAGAATGAGATGCTGGAAAACCCTTTTGCAGGAAAACCTCATGAATTATTTATTTCATTTCCTATAAAGAAATGTTACGTGATGCTAGAATGATGAGTGTTAATTTGGTGGCTGACCTACCGATGGTAAACTATTTCTGTAACATCATAAGAAGTAATTCTCTTTCATACACTTACATACTTCTCTCCAAACAGTAATCTTGACACTGCTCTTGTTGCTGCCTTGGATGGTACAATCAATATGGTTTATCGTGAGTCTGGGAGGATTATTTGGTCATTTGCATCAGGATCACCAATTTACTCTTCATACCAGGCTCCTGTCGACCATGATGATAAGGAAAATGCATCTGCGCTTGGAGGCAGCTATTTTGTAGACTGCGGAGACGATTGGAAGTTGTTTGCACACACAGATCTTGGCAAAGTGGTAAATTTCTGACTTCAGCACTGATATGTTGTGGATTTATGAACATACCGGTATTGGTGTAGCATCTGCTGATTTAGACTAATGTAGAATTCTGTAAGTATTGGAGATGAGGTGCGCCAGAACTACAATAGTATTAGTCTGCTTACATGATGTGCTACATTTTAGTAATTCATGGTGGGGAAGCCTTGCTCTGTGTTCTCGAGTCTTCTTTTAGAAGGAAAGGAAGGAAAGGGAAGGAAAGTAGGAGGGAAAGAAAAATTCTTGTGTTCTCGAGTTTCTTTAGGAGGGAAAGGAAAGGAAAAGGAAGGAAAAATTCCTGTTGATTTTCCTCCCAAAACTTAACGGAAAGGAAAGGAAAAGGAAAGAATTTATACCTCTAAAAATATTTATGAAATTACAGATATATCCAATTACATTCCACTATAAAATAAATAAGGGTATATCTGTAAAAAGGACATCTTTCCTTCCTCTCCCAATCAAGAACATGAAAATTTATTTTCTTTCCTTCACTCTCTTTCCTTTCCCTTCACTCTCAAGATCACAAATAACTTTTTTCCCTTTCTTTCCTTCCCTTTCTTTCCAAAATTCTAAATTGTTAACTACTAATGTACTAGGAACTGGAATGTTCTAGAATGATTATGGGAAGTCATGTAAGAAGAGTAACTTAGGGTAGGGCACCTAAATGATGAGAGACCTGCTTGGTTGATTTTCTCAAGTATTACACTAGCTCTATTCATCACAGACATACTAATCAACGCTGCAGCAGATATAGACAACATACGTTTGTTAGTTTTCATGTTAGACTTGAATTACTTTTGGACTTTAAAGAAACACATTGGCAACTGTAAGTTGGAGTGTTGTAACTCTAATGTTGCTTTGTGGGTTGCTAAGGATAGACACGTACTTTTTTCTCTAGAATCTGAAATATCAGAATTATATAAAAATACCATGACTAGGTTCAGAGTCCTAAGGATTAAAGGATACTGAGGTGGGATAAGATTTACTTAAGCACACTGCTGACTCACAAGCAGTACGAGTATTTTGCACTTGTCGGAAAGGGTAATAAGTGTGCATGTCCACATGTGGTAACTGAGATGGGCATTAGCACAAAAGAATTAATAAACAATGAATAGAAATATGCAATAGAAAAGAGAGGATCATAAGAAAAGCACAAGTCGTTCTGCATCAAGAAGGAAAGCCAGTACAGATGGACAATATCATCCAGGTGGGACTAGAAGGATCTCTGCATGTCACAAGATTATAGTGAGGTTTTCAGAGGGTTCTAACTCACTTTCTCCCATGAAGGGGTGGGAATGTGGAGATATGGGCTTGATGGTTTGACTAATGTTTTCCCCTGATATCAATATAGACCATGCCAATGTATCCAATTGACTGCTTAATTCTCTATATTCTTGGTAGGGTTAAGTTTTCTCTCACTTCAGCTTAAATGCCTGCCTGCTTTCTTTATAAAGGTATATGGTCTTCCATGGTGACTCCATGGTTGATATATATATATATATATTATCAATATGTGGTGATACTTTTGGGTTAGTCCTAAAAGCAGTCATGGCAATTACTGTAAGGCATGTTTCCCTTTGAGGCTTTGCAGTGTGTTCACCAGAATCGCCTCATATTACGTATTCATAACAAGCTTCAAGGAAGGGACGGAATTTTTAACACATGGATGCTATAAGGAGAATGAACTTTGTACACCTAGTTATATTTTTATCAATTTTTATCAATTTTTATCTTATATGTACATTACTGTGAGGTTAGGATTGCTAATACATTTCTCATTTCCAAAATCATATAGTCTGTACCACCCTAAATGTTTTCTTTACTTTTGATATTACTTTTCTCGGATTTCCTTGTGTCTTTTAATCATGTTTTTTTTTTTGTTTCATGCTTCTAATTCAATAATTTAATCCTACCATATGAGGATACAGCCATGTGTATGGTTCTTTCATATTGCAAGCGCAATTAAGATCTCGTTATTTGTAAATTTGTTAGGCTTGACCTCTGAATTGGCCTCTATTGCAATTGTTATCCGGAATTGATAATAGGGTGGTCTACCTTTCTTGTTGTCATGTTCTTCTTTTTCGAATGTTCTTTTTGTGGTCTTTCTTCGCAGTCTTTTTCCACACCATGCACAAGCCGGGGGGTTTCACCGAAACAACCAATCTACCCAATGGGGAAGATGTTAGGTTTTCGTAAATCTCACCCCTCAGAACCCGCCTTCGGGCGGGATATAATGGGCCTGTTTGGTTTAGTTTGGTTGATTATAGGGTGATGGATGTTATACATGAAGTCATAAAGGTAACTCCACAAACATTCACAAGGTTATTTCCCTAGAAAATCTTTTTTGTTCCCATTTCTCCATGTTTATAGGGGGTCAATGTTCAAGGCCTTGTCCTTGTTCATTAAGATGTTATGCTTTTATTGTTTCATGCATGCATTTATCTTCTTGTCGATTGACTTTATGCAACCTTCTACTTGTACACAGAATATGGATGTGAGTATCGAGGAATTCATCAGAATCATGCCACATGTATCAGAGGATGGAGGAGTTATTCTCGGATCCAAAACAACTACTGCATTTGTGGTTGATGCTAATACTGGAAGGTTAATACGAGTTCATTACAGCTCGCCTGATACTACACACACATCATCAAGCAATGAGAGCTCGAATTCTATCATCCAAAAAGCCATTGTGAAGCAGGAAAAGTCTGATGCCGTGGACGAAAAGCCTGATAAACAGCTCTCCTTCACAAGGACAGATTATTTACTGACATCATTTGCTGCAAATTCTGACAAAGTTTTGTGGAATGTGACAGTAGCAGAGATTGATGTTGCTTTGCTTTGTCAAGAAAATCCAAACTCAATTACTGGTCCATCTCGGTCTCTGCATAATGATCTTCGTTCGAAATCCAGTGTCAATTTTGATATGCCCTTGTCATGCCAGTCAAAAGCTGCTGTCCATCGCTTACGTAGTCCTCATATTTGGGATTATTTTAAAACGAATGGCAGACCGTCAGAATATAGAGCTCCAATGCTGCTACTTCCCCCAAATGAGCCTTTACTACCCAATTCTGACAAGTCTCGAAAATCTTACCCAAACAATGACTTTGAGACCCAAACTGTGTTTTCTTTGTCTAGCCCGGATCAGAATGCACAAATCCCTGACCCACAAGATGTAAGAAAGCCCAACTATAAAGTAAGTGTACTTGCTGAAGGGCGAATAGCCTTTGTCATAATCTCAGCTCTCATTGTTGTCATTGGCTTTCTTATGTATCGCCACCATACTTTGATGGTTGCGATGTTAAGAAAGCAGCCTGATGCCATGAATGCAAAATCCTCCTCTTCTAGAAGGAAGAGGCACCGGAAATCAGGGAAGAATTACGGCAACGAGGATGGAAATCTGGAGGTTGATAGTGAAAAAGGTTCACCACTCAATTTCAATCACTTAATTGAATGTGACATGGAAGGGCGCTCCATAGGTAAACTATTTGTGTCAAACAAAGAAATTGCAAAGGGGAGTAATGGCACTATTGTCCTTGAAGGAAAATATGAAGGTCGTAAGGTAGCTGTGAAACGCCTTGTTAGGGCCCATCATGATGTTGCCTTTAAAGAAATTCAGAATCTTATTGCTTCTGACCAACATCCGAATATTGTTCGTTGGTATGGGGTGGAATATGATCACGACTTTGTATATCTTTCACTGGAGCGTTGTTCTTGCAGCCTCTACGATCTAATTCAGATGTATTCGGAGTCATTTCAGAAGCTGGGATGTACAGAGGCTCAAGCACCAAAGGCTATGACAGATTACAAAGGCTGCTTAGATTCGTTAAATGGTGTCATGCATGACATTCATTTGTGGAGGCCAAATGGCTACCCTTCCCATATCTTGTTAAAGTTGATGAGGTGCGTTCAAACGTTTATGCTAAACTATAGCTATTGGGTACTAATTTCATCATCATGAAGGCATTTTTGTACTGTTGGTGGAAGCTAACATTCTCCTCCTTGCCTTCACCTGCCTAATATCCCAGCACTATATAGAACTTTTTTTTTTCTTCATATGAGTTCAAGTTCTTAATGAATAGAAAACCTACATTTTTCTCTATAATTCAAATCAAATCTCATATAAATGCTATTATTTTTACGGAAAAACTAAAAACGTAACATGGTTTTAGAGTCTTGCTCTCAATATTATATACAGCAAGTGGTATTACCAAAGCTTCGACTGGGCACCATGTTTGAAAGAAATATTGATCTCTAAACATTCACTTTGACCTGAATCAGCTTCTGAAACATGTATAACTTTTTTGGGTTCATCTGTATTATAGGGATATAGTATCTGGCCTGATGCATTTGCATGATTTGGGGATTATCCATCGGGACTTGAAGCCTCACAACGTGTTGATAGTCAAAGAAAAATCCTTATGTGGAAAACTTTCTGATATGGGCATTAGCAGGCGTCTTGTTGGGGACATGTCGTCATTGGGACATCATACTACCGGTAAGTAACATCAACTATACTATACGAGGCTAGTATCACTTTCTGCATTCATTTGTTTTCGGCTAGTGTTTTTATGAATCAGTTTCTTTAAGTATTTTTGCTGGATGTTAAAACTTGTATTCTTTCTATTGCTTGGATTCACTTAGATGTTAGCCAATGACGTTAAATTCTAATGATTTGCAATTCTGAATCTCCGGATACATCATAGAGTAAATTCTTTGTTCAATTTCTCTATTTGTTCAACAGTGCCATACTTGACATGGTCATCTGATAAAGCATGACTGCCGATGTGTTTCTCTGTTCATTATCGAACTGCAAACTTCGATCTTAACATGGATATGATATAATTTGGAAAATCTGATATAGTAATCCCTCTGCACATGAAAATTGCAAAAACTTCTGTTTTAGTAGGTTCCATGATAATTGCAGTATGCTTTTTGGGAAAACTTTAAGGTAGAGTTACTTGTTTTCCCATTGTCATTATTACACTTGTATGGGTGGTATTTATATTGGTCAATTAGATCATATCTTATTTTGCATTATTGGAGGATTAATACAATGATAAATAGTTAAAATACTTTTGCTTTAAACAAGAAATAGTTACACACCTGGCATAAACTATGTCATTGGCCCAAACAGTATCTGGGTTACTGGTCAATCCTCGCCTCCCTGGAGGTTAAGGGCTCAAACCTCACCAAAGCTGAGTAGTTTGCGTGAGTATTTGTTGTATATATATTAGATACTTAGAAAAACTGTGCATTGTCAAACATTGTGATTTTTATGGAATGGAAGGACAAGATATTAAATTTACACGTTGATCCCAATGTGGTCTAACAAACAAACAGTAGGGTAGACTAAAGATGCAATTACTTTGAGTTTCATTTTGTTATGGTTTTGTTACGTCAGGTTCTGGAAGTTCAGGATGGCAAGCACCTGAACAACTTCTTCTGGGGCGCCAAACACGTGCTGTAGATTTGTTTAGCTTAGGTTGTGTCCTCTTTTTCTGCATCACTTGTGGCAAACATCCATTTGGTGACCATCTTGAACGTGACGTCAATGTGGCCAAAAACCAAGTGAACCTCTTCTTGGTGGAGCACATTCCTGAAGCAGTGGATCTCTTCTATCGGTTGTTAAACCCTCTTGCTGAACTCAGGTACATAGTTACTGTTGTCAAAGTTGAGAAGGTTAATCATCACAGAGTCATAGTTGCACATGCCGATATTATTGGTATTTTGGTCTTTTGCATATAGATTTCCCTCCTTTCTCCTTCGTCTTGCTGAACGACAATCAAGAAGATGAAACAAAGACGGATGATAATCAATCAATAGTCAAATGGGTTTATCAAACAATTAGTTTTGGTATAAAAAACACCATGAATATCAATTGGTTCGCCTTTCAACGTTTTTTTCTTCCAATAAATATCATAGGAATTGGTAATAACAGAAGGGATAACCACAAAGGCTTTATCAATTCTTCGACACCTTTCTTAGTAAACAACTTCCATTCATTTAAGTCACTAAAAGAATATAAACAAAGGGGATTTGTTTTCTTACTTGTACTTTCGATCCCGCCTTGGCTCCTATTTTTCCAACCTCCAAACAAAAAGAAATTATCTTCAACAGTCTCTTGGTTTATGGAGTTCTTTGCTTCTCCAGTTGGAGAGGCCCTCCTAGTCTCCATGGTTTCTTCTACAAAGTTCCAGTTTGTCTTGGAGCAATAGGTTTATGTTTTTATTTGGCTTCCATGGTCTATCCATTCTGTGGTAATAGCTTCTTGAGTTTTGCATAAACAATATTTGGCTTCCATTTCCTCCATGCACAACCGCTTTTGCAGTCATAGTATTAATTGTATTCAAAGGCAAGGGAAAGGGGTCTAGACTGTCTAAAACAGAGTGGATTTGGAATAAGCTCACTTGGGCTCCTCGTATTCTTGGGTCTATTTGTGGTCTCCTTGGGATTCATTTTCAGGAATTGGAGGTTCTTGTGTAATTCGGTGGTGCTCATGCTTAATTTGGATGAGTGGAATACAAGTGAAAATGGACTCTATATTTCTGTAATCATAATTGATCTTTTGGGTGGTGTTAATGTGTTATTGCCATTGCCGTCATGCTATAAGTGTGCATGTGGTTACAATTTATCTCTATGTTGACTTAATGGGCTGAGTCATATCGATTAGACAGGTGAAGGAAGAAGACAGAGAAGAGAGGAGAGAAAGATTTTGTGTGAAAAAGTCCAAAATACCCTTAAAAAGGCATGTGCAATGCATGTGTTTAACTTAACAGATTTTAACTCACAACCGTCAAGGAGGGCCCTGAATGTGCAAAAAACATAGTTGGAGTGCTTGAAGCGTCTGTTTATTAAATCAGGGACTAAAAGTGTCCCTTCACTTAAGTCAGAGGACCAAATTTGTAGTTTCCTATCATTCAAAGGAAAGGCAAAGATGAAATTTTACAATTTAATAGAATCATTTAAGTACATAATATAGTAATACGGCTAAATATGTATAGTAAAACTGTGATCATGTCTGCAAATGTGCAAGAATAAGGTTAGACGTTTTACAAATAGTCGAACACTTCTATGTTGCAATACTTTGAGCAAAAGGTTGATGTTGGGCAACCCTTGTGTTGCAATAATTTGAGCAAAAGGTTGATGTTGGGCAACCCTGATTGGCCCAAACTCTGGACCCGGCCCCTAGGAACCACACATGAGGAGGCATTTCAGAGCTGACTCAGCGGCTAAGGGCTGAGGCTAGCAGAGGGGTTCACGCTTGGCTCGTGCATAATTCAAACTTGAACGTGTTGACTGTTGTGTATTTGAGCAAAGTCTCGCCGCCCCTTTGCCAATTGAGCTACACACCCAAGGGCTCTCTTATGTTGCAATAATCAGAGGACCTGAAATATTCTCGTTAGTATCTAATTTCTTCGCTTATTAACTAGCTTCTCATAATACTTGTGTCAGGCCAAAGGCATCGGAGGTGCTACACCATCCTCTATTTTGGAATTCCGAGATGCGAATGTCTTTTCTCCGAGACACTAGTGATAGGGTAGAATTGGAAGACAGGGAAGTTGATTCCATTATTCTTAGAGCATTAGAAAGCAAAGGTCCAGTGGCTTTGGGTGGAAAATGGGATGAAAAGATGGAGCCTGCATTTATTACTAACATTGGAAGGTACAGGCGTTACAAATACAATGGCGTTCGAGACTTGCTGCGTGTTATTCGAAACAAATTGAATCATTACAGAGAACTACCCAAGGAAATTCAGGTTTGTTTTCACAACAATGCAAGCTATATAAAACAGAATCTCGTTTACCAGTGTTTTTTAAGAGTGCTGTGTGGTGTTTGGTACATTGAACAAGACAGAACAAAAACCGGTATATTTAGGTATATAACCTTAAATGAGATTTTAATCAACTCCATGACCTTTTGATGAGCATACAATATGAAGCCATTTTTTTAATAGACCAGGAGGTCATGGATTTAAAATAAAATCTTATTTAAGGTTATATACCTAAATGACCCACAAAAACTTGTGTGACATTAGATTGTGACAGGACAAGACCGAGTGAGACAAAAATGCACCTTTTTTGTCCCACTAAAATAGGTGGAACAAAAACTAGGAAGATGAGACAAGATTTGCAAATCACTAAACTACCCGTGTCAAATTAGAACCCTAAAACCTTCCACATTTCTTTCACCTGCCTACTTCACTTTCGCGTGCCTGGTACCGTCCAATCCTGTCTGCATACCAAACGCACCTTAAAAGGCATTAACCGGAGATTTTGTGGGTAAAAGATTATACATGAGCGTCCTATTTGCTATTTTACATCTACAAGTAGATTTGGACTATTTTCTTTTTTACATTATTTGCAACTATCTTCTTGGGAACAACCTCTGTCTAAGATAGAGATAAGGTTTGCGTACATTTTAGCCCCTAGACTCTACTTCCGGGTGGGATATATCGGGTTTGCTTGGTTTGATGATTTATTTTGCAAGTACGTTCTCGGCAACAACCTCTCTGTCTCTTGAGACATGTAAAGTCTACATACATCTTATCCCTCCAGACTCTACCTCTGGGTGGGATATACCAGGTCCATTTGGTTTAGTTTGATTTATTTTTGCAAGTATGTTGGATGTTAAGAGACAAAATGTGAAACCCGATGGTTCAATATGCTAGTTTGTTCAATACGAAAGCTTTCATTCTCCTTTTTTTCTTTCTGGTAACTGCTTCCAACAACCCATGTTTCTTTTGAACTCAGACATTGTTGGGATCTGTACCGGAAGGATTTGATGACTATTTTGCGAGTCGGTTTCCCCAACTCTTGATGGAGGTATATAATGTTATGTACCATTACTGCAAACAAGAAGAATGGTTCCATAAGTACTTAGATCATTAATGTATTGTAGCAACTCTTAAGTTAACTTGCTCCATAAATCCCTGCTATAAGTTCTTCGTATGTCAATATATATATATATATATATATATATTTCATAGTGTTATATCCATGTAAATAAGATATGTAATACAGTAATGTATGAAACACATCAGTATTAATGTCTATAAATCTTTGTTTCATGAAAATGTTCCTTTTTTTCCCGATTTACAGTTTTAATTCTTGAATATCTCAACGGTGGAACGAACAACGTGTTTATATCTGCGGTAACTGTAACCACGTCTAATGTTTTTGACGAATTTCGTCAAAATTCAAGAACCCCATATCGAATATTGATGTTGAAAATGGGCCCATGTTGACCCAAAAGTCAAACTTAGCAAATGCATCTCAGGACCATCTTTCTGGGATTTTGCCTAGTTTTCTGGAAGTTGTGAGGATCAAATCTTGCTTCAATGAAACCAAGATAGCTATACCTGGTAGCTTTTCAATTGATTGACTATATTGACCATGGTGATGTTTGTTTTTATATGGATTGAAGCATCTGTATGGATTTAGATAAATTGGTATTAGTTTTTTTATACTGAACAAATGGTCTGAATGACAAAAATATTGTCAAATCTTGATAGTTCTAGTAGGTGGCTTTGTATATAGCGTTTCTAGAGGAAAAGTTGACAAATTCGAAAATTTGACAACAAGGATATCTCTTGCTTATGTTTCTTGTGCTTTAAGCTCAATCATTATCAAATGTCCGTTCGGGGACATCTGATATTTTGGCAGATGTCTCCGAAAGGGGGTGCTTGACTCATTGGGAACGAAAATGGAATGAGAATAGAGGGTGCATGGCTTATTTTAGAGAATGAAAATAGAAACGAGGATGTGAATGTTGTAGAACGAAAATAGGGATAAGTTTCATTCCCCTCAATATGTTGAGGAATACTTCATTATACAGTATCCGGTACTGACTCCTTTCATTGTATCAAACGGGTGATTTCTATTTTCCTCTCTATTAGAGAGATTGATTTTTAACGGTCTAGTTTTCTACGTGTTTTTTTAAGTATATAATATTTATACAAGGCAAATTAAACTCACACGTGCTTTTCAACTTCGGCTTTAGGTAATTATGACGATCTAATGTTGTTTGGTTCTTGTTAAACTAACTAGAAATAAACGACCATCAAAAACTTAATTCACAGAAGAAGAATGTTCTCCTCAAGACTTTCGGTCATCTACACTTTTATCGTGTCCAGATAATTTGTCTAGTGGCCTGTTATTATTTTTTCCATCCTAAAATAAATGTTCATAATGAAAATAACATAGTTTTAAAAGTATGTAATTGCTATATTTTTTTTCAATTAATTAAATGACACTATTACCCCTTAATAGTAAAGAGGGGAATTTTATTTATCTCATAATTAAAGATAGAATAAAAAAGCTGACACTTACTTTTAAAAATAGACAATTATTTTGAGCCAACCGAAGTCTATCTCCCAAGGATAGCATCAAATCAACAAAATTTGGTATATAGTCTAAGATTTTGTGTCATCATTACAGATAGTCTAAAATAGAGATATAGACATTTATTTCTAAGACAGAGTAAATATTAATTTTTACAAAGAAAAACACGTGACATAAAGCAAATCCTCAGTATTATTTGTCCTACCATACCAGTAACACAATAATTAATAAAGAACTCTTGTATCCTTTAGGTTGTTTTTGGTACAAGGGATTAGACAAGACAAGACTCATTGTTCCACGTTTGACATGACACTGGACAAAATAAACTCACTGTTTTATATTTGGCACAACATGAAACAGGGACAACGACCGGGAGATGATAGGGCATGGTGGGACAAAAAAATCATTTTTCTTGTTCCATTTTTTGTCCCACCAGTATAGACGAAACAAGATGTGAAAAGTATAAGAAATAAACTTAAAAATTACCAATCTACTCTCATTTTGATATAACCTTAATATAATATTTGTTTTAATGGGCACTACCCCCATCGCTGCCACTACCACCGCCAGTGGCACTGACAGGCATCGTTGGCCACCTCTTCCTTCACTACAACAATCTCTTCTACCACCTCTATAACCATTGTTGGCCATCAGCTATCACTGCCCAATGCTGCCAACTAGGGGCGACAAAAAATGATCCAACCCGCTAACCCAACCCCAACCCAACCCAAAATTAAAAGGTTCGGTTGAGATTTTCAACCCATTTAAATAAATGGGTCAACCCACCCAACCCATTTAAATAAATGGGTTAGGTTGGATTTTTTGATCTGTTTACAACCTATTTTCAACCTGCTTCCAACTCATTTAAATATTATATAATTTTATTTTATTCTTAATATTATATCTAGTATTCTAATTTTTAATTTGTTTTATTCTTAAATAAAAATTCTACCGTCGTGAGATGAAAGTCCAAATTTCAATTGCCTTCATTACTCTTAATCATCATGAAACTCTAAGAAAACCCTTTACTCCATTATCACCTCCAAAGTCCAATCCAACTCTTCAAGTTTGTTGTCTGCCTCTCGCCTTCTCGATCTCTCGATCTCGGCTCTCTCTTTATGCAACGTTTTTCTTCCTCTCGGCTCTCTCTCCGTCCAACATTTTTTTAATCGTCTCTCTCTCAAATTTCTCTCCATCCAGGCGTCCAACCTTAATGATTCAACAGGCTCTCCGAGTCTCCGTCGGGCATCTGTCTCCAGTCTCCAGCCTCCGTCGGGCATCTGTCTCCGAGTCTCCGTCGGGCATCCAGTCTCCAGTCTCCAGTCTACCACCACTTACCAACACCATTGGCTACCATTACCACTATATCGGCCACGACTACCTCCTGCACCACTGGCGGCTTCTACCACCACCACCATTGTCCACGATCTTCACTTCCTCCACAAGCACCATTATCCACTAGCCACCACCACCTCTACCTCCACCGCCATTGTTTCTACAACAACCTCCATCCCTCATGTCCACCATCTTCACATCATCCACAATCATTGTCATCCACCACTGCCTCTACCTCCATTACATCAGCCACAAGTCCACAACCACCTCTTCCATAACTAGCCGCCTCCACCATCACCATCATCCATCATATTCACATCCTCAACAATCATCATCTTCACAAGCCACCGTCACCAATAACAATACATATGGTTTTGAAATATTCAGAGTAATTCTTTGTCAAATATATAAATAAGTTTCAACAATAACAAATTTCAGGAAGTTAGTAGACCAATAAACACAACCAAATCAAATGGATAAAAAATATTTTATATAAGTATCTAAAACATATTTTAAATAAAAATAAAACATAAAATCATTGGTCCAAAATTAATATAAGTTTAGGCCCACATACAGAAAATTGGGTTGGGCCATCTATATCTGGATAGGCCCAATGGGCCAAAACAAACTGAAAATCCACTTTGAGCATTTATGGGCCAATTTCGCCAAACTTCCGGTTCCAGCATACAGAAGTCTGTCGGCGATCTTCTTCTTCACTGAAGCAGTCGGGTATCATCCTCCTTCTACGGTTCTACCTTGCTTCTCATATCAAGGTATCATCTACCTTATGCTACTATTGTGTTATGCTCTATGTGATCTCTCTCTGTGTTTATATATATAATATATGTATGTATTTCACTGTAATGGGTTAAATCCAAATTGTTTATTCGTCTACCTGGAATCGGAGGTTTAGATGCAAATCTCTCCTTCAATTTCTATCTTAATTGAGACAAAATGTTTTGATTCTTCTTCTTCTCTGAATTCCGCACGTTTAAACAACCAAATACATCTCTCTCTTATTTTGATTTCTTCAATTTGTATATTAGGGTTTTCATTTGCTTTTTGCTGTTCTTGTTGATCGATTTAGATTGGATTTTTGGTTATTTTCTTCAGTTTCGGTCAGTTTCAATCTTCTGTATACTATGCATTGAACTAATTAATCTTTCTAGTTGGGATTCTGGTTATTTTCAATCTTAAGTAGCAATACGATGATAGGGTTTGCAGTAAATGTGTTATTCTTCTGCAATTGATAAGTGAATCTGTGATATGCATAAAATTCTGGTTTAAGTGGATAAATTTTAACTTTTTTATGTATATTTCTTGAAGCTAACTGATACAAGTAGGAATACAGCTACAAATGGCGTCTCTGAAGGAGATTTTAAATCGCCGGCCAGTGGCTGCAACAGTCCGGCTAACTATCCCAGCCGGTGGAGCAAGACCTGGACCACCAGTAGGTCCAGCAGTCGGTCAATACAAGGTTAACCTGATGGCATTCTGCAAAGACTTCAATGCCCGCACTCAAAAGTACAAACCGGACGCTCCTATCTCAGCAACCGTCACTGTTTTCAAAGATAACACGTTCGAGCTCAGCGTTCGGTCTCCTTCGGTCACGTGGTATCTAAAGAAGGCGGCTGGGATCGAGTCTGGAAGCGGCCGTGCAGGTCATGTTGTAGCATCAACCCTAACCCTAAAACACATCTACGAAATCGCGAAGGTGAAGCAAGCGGATCCGTACTGTCAGTACATGTCGCTGGAGGCCATCTCGAAATCGATTATAGGTACGGCTAATTCTATGGGAATTAAGGTTGAAAAGGAGTTGGATTGATTAATCTTGATTGATCATGTTATGTTTTGTAGACTAGAGATGAAAAAATCTTTGGGAAACCCATAAAAATCTTGTTGTTTGAAGTTGTTTTAAAGATTTTCTTATGATGAAAATTGAAAATCAAGCTCCTTTTCCACCATTGTTAACTGTGTGGAACTTGTTTAGAAAGACTAGTTTTTCAGAAATGAAGTGTTTGCTTGTTAATTATTTATGTCCATTTTTGGTACATGACACTTGTGTACGGGCGAGAGTGAAGTAGGTGGGTGAAAATTTTTTGTTGAAGGATTTTTACTTTTAATTTAATATGGGTAGTTTAGTGATTTACGAAGCTTTTTCTCATTTCCTGATTTTTGTTTTACCTATTTTGATGGGACTGTAAAAATGCATTTTTGTACTATTTAGTTCTGTGTGGTCCTAGTCTAATTGTTGCACCAACCAAACGTGAGACTATTAAGTTTTTGTTTCATACATCAACTGTATTGTCCAGCATACCAAGTACAAATTTATGTTCTATCATGTACTGTCTTGTCACGCACACTTACAAATATAGGAATCTAACAAGACCATTGGCTAAGGGGCCATACACCAAACACTTACCCGGGTAAGCGTCTTTCCGAGTCACATTACCTTACCGGATGAATATGGCAAGGACCAAGAATCAGTATGAGTGAGGCAAGGGCCAAGAGTTTTACCCGGTAGGTGAGGGTGAACGCTCTTACCATGGTTAGCGCTTACTGGGTAAATCGTTGCATACAATGCCATTTTTGTTGACTAAAATCTTGCCCAGTAAGTAAGTGATAGTGTTAAATTTTAGCAGTAAGCGCTTACCGGTTAAATCGTTGCATACAATATCGTTTTTGTTGACTAAAATCTTATCCGATAAGTAAGTGATAGTGTTGAATTTTACTGGTAAGCACATACCAGGTAAGTGTTTGATAAACTAACCCCTAAGTAGAGCTATTTGTCTTGAACCAACTTGTTAGCTGCTAACTGCCATTTGAAAGATGTTAATGCAAATAACTTGCTCATAGCCCTCTCCAACACTTGTTGTCATGGTTGTTCTTGTAAGGTAGTATTTGGTTTGCAGATATAATTAAACGGGACATGACAAAACTGGATAGGACGAGTTGTTTTTGGTACGATTAGAATCGGATAGGACGAGTTGTTTTTGGTACGATTAGAATCAGATAGGACATGACTAGACAAGTTGATCTTAAAAGTTATTTGATAATTTTTTATGTCATATAATAGTTATAAATAACACAAATCAAGTAAATATTTCATAATTTAATTTATGAATATTTTTGTTACAATTTTATATGCATAAATGCCTACATATAAGATATTACGAAATTTGAACGAAGAATTTGATATAATTGATGGTGGTTCAAAAAAACATGGTTAGTATAAAGGAAAAACTATGTTTTATTTAATTTTATAAAAAATATATATTAGAGGTGGGTTGGACGGGTTGAGTTGGGCCTAACACAATTTCAACTCTCTTGATTTTCGGGTTGGCGGATTGGGTTATTAGCGGGTTGACAGGTTTATGTACACCCTTAGCCTACGGTGGTTGTAGTAATGGAGGAGGTGGAGGTAACCAACAGTGGTTAGCGGTGGCTGTCGGTAGTAGTGGTAATGGTGATGCGCAATGATGACCATTAAAACAAATATCATATTAGGGTTGTATTAAATGAAGGCACATTTGTAATTTTTTTAGTTCTTGTCATCCTTATCCAAAAGGAGGAACAAAAGAAAGTTCTTTTTGTCCCACCTAGTCGTGGTCCTTGTCCCTGTCTCATGTTGTGCTGAATGTGAAATGGTGACTTTTTGTCATGTCCATACCGTATTAAACGTGAAACAGTGAGTTTTGTGTTGTCCTCTCCAATCTCATGTACCAAGTATAGCCTAAATGACAGAGCATCTCCAACTAATTCTCCAATATGAAAATTTTAGACAAACCTTTTGGTCTTACAAGATCTTCAAAATGGAGAAAATAGAAAAGAAATTATGAAATTCTTAAAATCCGAGAACTCTAAAAAATGATTACCATGAGTGAGAATATATTTTTATTATATTCTCATCGATAGCAAACCTTGAAATTAAATATTTAAAGATAACCGACCATTACAATGCTCGAATTCGAAGATCTTCAAGAAAGGAAGAAGTTAACGTTATGCGTTATCTTGTCACGGAAGATCCTAACACAAAAGGGTTTTGGGTTCTGAGTATTGACTACGGACCACCCGAGCTTCATTTGAACCCCCAGATGAGATCCCTGTTCTCGAATCTACCCCTTGTTCAAACTCAATCTCGAGTTCACGTTTCATCTATTTTAGAAAGTTTATAGATTTAATCGTTCAAAAGATTCCAATGACTTGTTCACTTAAAATATGAAAATTCATTAGGTTTTTTTTCTTCAGATTTTTAAATGATTTTATCATATTGACCGATCTTACAGTTAAATTTATCTATTTTTTTATTGGTTTTCGAAATTGCAGGGATTTTCAAAAGAAATTATCCAATGGTTTAATCACTTAAAATTAAAAAGTTTGTTGGATTTTTTTAGACTTTTTCAACAAATATTGCAAATACTACTTATATAGTTATGCCTAAATATCCAAAAACAGACATTTAGATATTCTATGACAAAAGTATACTAAATAACGAAATTACGTATCGTACACATAAAATGGTCGTTATACTCAATTTTTTCGTACTCCACATTTATTGCCTTGATTGTATCACTCTTTTAGAAAGGTTCGTCATTGTTTAATGTGCGGTTTTTGTAACGTGTTATTTGATTTTTCTTAATTTTTTAATGACTTATTTGCTAGTTTTTAATGTATAATCTAACTTCAATTGTTTATTATCATTGACTTATTGAGTAAGAATAGAAAACATATGTTTTTATATATGATATAGATTTGCCGCTATAAATCACAGCTTTGAAAAACAACGCAGCCTCGCCACCATGTCACACCTCATGCCATTTGAAACCTTGGATTGTATCCACAGGTAATTCTAACCCGCCCTTAAAACAGTAAAAACGCTAAAATGCATATGTTTTCTGTACCATTAGAACACTAAAAAATAGAGATCTCAAACTTTACGGGTCAGAAATGTTGGCCTCTGTTTATCAAATATTCATATTTTATTCAACTTTTATAATTATATATATATATATATATATATATATATATATTGGTTAATAGTTTAATATATTAAATAATATTTTATATAAAGTTTATAATTTAGTTATTTTGTGTTTATAGATTGTGAATTATACATAAATAATTTCATTTTTTAATTAAAAACGAAAACTCGTAAAAACAAAAATGTGAATAATTTTGTTATAATTTTGATTGACGAAACTTAAACATACATAAATAAAACATCCGTATAATCAAAAAATGTTTAACAAAATAAAACTTTATTAGCAAAAAATTATAAAAAAATATTATCAGTTACAACTTTGTGTCAAGATAATAATATAAAACCGAATATAATACCTACATTCATTGATTATAAAAAATCAAGTGATAATTATTTATTAATTATTAAAAATGTTTTTAGTATGTAGTCGGAGTTACTTTTCTTTTAATGTTCAATGAACCGTCCATTTTTCTTGTGATTTTAGTGTTTTATTTGTAGTAGGAGTGAACATGATACAGTACTATGTTTTTTTTTCATATAACATATATCAACCAATTATATTTGGTACCAACTTTTTTCAGTTGGTACATGTTGATACAGTTAACCCAAATTCCATTGGACCAGTGAATCTTTTCTCCAAATTTTACATTTCTTGAAGCTGCATTTGACTTGTAGATATTAATTCTGGAAATTGCAAATGAAACATTCATACCAATAGGTTTTTATTAGGGCATCTCCAAATTAACACTGAAAATACAAAAATGAAGGTGTTTTTATCTGTAATCCAACACTAAAAAAATAGAGGTCATTAAAGTAGACCTTCATATTTGGAGGTCAATAAAGTAGACTTCTATTTTTTATATTTATATAATAATAAGATTTTATAATTATATATACACATATATTATTTTTATTATTATTATAATATTAAAGATGTTTTAATGTTCAATACACCCATTATATTTAGTGTTTTTAGTGTTTCTTTTAATGGTTGGATTGGTGTTGATCTTAAAGTTGTAAGTTGTTTACGAACGGCACAACCCACTAAACATGACTGGTCCAGCACACTACAAAAAATAGGTTTGAATAAGGGAAATTTACCGAAATGGATAATTCATTAAAGTGATTTCATTTTTTAGTCATTTTAGAAACCATTTTCCTTAGATAGCCAAAGTTTACAAAAAAACACTTTCACAGAAAAAGGATTTTCTGTGTAAAATTATTTTCAGGATAAAAAAAAAGAATAGTTTTAAAAAAAGTTTACTTAAAAAAGGGAACTTTAGACAGAAATTCCTTTTTCTGCATAAAGTTTTCATTTAATGGATTATTTTTTTTACATTTTACATTCTTATAATTAGTTGTTTAATTATATTATTTGTTTTTTCGTTTTTAATTTTGCACTTTTATAATTAGTTGTTTAATTTACTTTATATTTCTTATTTTTTTCATTTTACATCTTTATTATATTAATAAAATAATTGTATATTAACTAAAATACATAAAAATATATTTTTTTATATAAATTATACCATTATAATCGTCTCGTTAATACGTGGACCTAATATTGAATATTTTTGGATTTAATTTTATATTATTAAATATTAATAATTACGTTTAGATTTTATACCCTTATAGTTACATATTAACTAAAAAACTATAAGGATAGAAAGTGTTTAGGGGCCGTTTACCAAATCTTTACCCGAGTAAGCGCTTACCAAATCACATTTTATTATCGGATGAATATGGTAAGTACCAAAAATCTTATCCGGTAAGAACAAGGCAAGGACCAAGAGTCTCACCCGGTAAGTGAGGGCAACGACTCTTACCACGGTAAGCGCTTACCGGGTAAATTGTTGCATACGATGTCGTTTTGATAGACTAAAATCTTACCAGAGTAAGTAAATGATAGTGTTAATTTTTGCCGATAAACACTTATCGGGTAAGTATTTAGTAAACGACCTAAGTTGTAAAAATAATTTATATGTATTTATGATATTTAATAATATAACTAAAACAAAAATATATTGAATATTAGGGTGAGTGCAAACCTAAGAAAACATTTCAACCAATTAACATTAATTCATCTTTTCAATTTTATTCCACCCAATATTGTGTATTACAAATATTTAAATATAAATACGTGGAGGATTGGGTTTCAGTGAGAAGATCAGTTATGGTGACAAGTGTAAAAGTGATCTCTATCCTTAGACTAATCCTAATTGAATGTCAACATCAATGAGGTGCACCTGATCAATTTCCTTCTAAAGAGCAATTCATGGTTGGACATGAGATTCAAAATGATTCAGACCTCTTCTTACGCTTCTCACCATAATTTCGCCTATATGAGGAAGGGTTTAAACAAAAGTATTTTCATTTTAGGAAAACGCGAGAACACTTTTTTACTACAGTTAATCACATGTGATACTATATTTCATCACATGTGATGCTAAATATGAGACGTGGACGATCTTTGCCGCGACCTAGGTTGAGGGCCAAGTCACCCATACATTACTAGGCCCTTCCATATATATTATCACACGTGATAAAAATATTCTTAATGTGATATTTTAATCTATCACATGTGATGCTAAATTAGAGACACATACGAACCTTGGCGCGACTAGGTCATAGGACACATCCGCACACCATCAGTTCCCCTCATGTGTATTACCACATGTGATAGAAATGTTCTCTCATTCTCGTAAAATATTAATGTTCTTGTTTGAACCTCCACGTGTGTGTGTGTATAGGGAAGGATTCAAACGAGAACCTCTGTGATTTGCGAAAATGCGAGAACAACTTATTAACCTTATATTGTGATAACAATAAAAACTAAGATTCTTTTAAATTAAAAATGAAATTAAAAACATTTAAAAAAAATGAGAGGCAAAAGGGTAATATTGGAATTCAAAGTGATAAAATTTTAAAAACATGATCACACTAAACCCGATAATCTAGGATAATATAATGAGCTATTATGGTTATCGCTTATTTCAACACGATTTGATGTGATTTGGTGTTGAAAATCATGTGATTATCACACAATTATCATAAGGATTCCACTCGGCTCGGGTTAACTTAGGAAATTGACTACATGAACATGATTTTGGTATGATATGTGTGTGATAATTATGTGATAAACAATTTCATCAAGGATTACACTAACATACAATTTCAAATTGGGATGTTTATCACATGTGATAAACATAAAAAATCTCAATTACAAAACTACTATAACATTAAACTCAAATCAACATGTACCAATAACTATAACTCGACTAAAAATGTTGACATTCACAATTCCATGTACATTTTATCGCATGTGATAAAAAAAACAAATATCATTATAGTCCTGGTGATAACAGAACTGATTTAGAAAAATACTATGAAATATTATTGTTATGATACTATTATCGAACTTTCATCATCATCAACAGAACTGTCTTTAGATAATTTCAAATTGGGATGTTTATCACACGTGATAAACATCAAAATTCTAGGTCGGTTTTTTTTTTTGGATACTATGAACCAATGAGAAGAAAATGATAGCAGAAAGTGAAAAGGAAGAAAGTGATATAGTGAACGTGATCAATCCCAACCAACTTGATCAATCCCAACAAGAAAGGATGGGATAATTCTAACTAATTAAAATAAAATTAAAATTACAAAAATACCTAATTACATTACTGACTTATTTGTATTTAATATAATTTAAATTATTGATTAACAAAGTTTGATGTTAGTAAGTTTTTCTCGCGATCTCGTAAATTACAGGGTTCTCGTTTGTATATATATATATTTGTGCGAGAAGGAGGGTAAATGTGAGAAGTGTAAGAAGAGATCTGGACCCTTGATCATCTTTAATTCCAAACCTACCCATGAATCGCATTTGATAAGGGCCTACAGGGATTGATCTGGTGCATCTTAAACTAATTTGCATCTAAGGGTGGAGATCTCTTCTTATATTTCGTACCTTAACTTTCTTTTTTACCAGAACCCAAACCTATATATATGTATGTATGTATGTATGTATATATATATATATATATATATATATATAGTGTGAGAAGGAAGGTAAAGGTGAGAAGCATAAGAAAGAATCTGGACCCTTTAATCATCTTTAATTCCAAATCTACCCATGAATCGCATGTGATAAGGGCCTACAGGGATTGATCTGGTGCATCTATAACTAATTTGCATCTAAAGATGGAGATCTCTTCTTACATTTGTTACTTTAATTTTTTTTCTCACCGGAACACAAACCTCTCTCTCTCTCTCTCTCTCTCTCTCTCTCTATATATATATATATATATATATATATATACATATTGTAGCGGAGTAGCAAAATCCAAAAATACTAGTAATGGAGGTTGGAATTTAAGTAACATAATATTAAATAAAATGAAAGTTGAATAAAAAAAAATTAGAAGTGAGAAAACCAAGTTTGTTATTTATGGTTTTTTAGCAATTTATATCTATCCTTTTTGAGTAACGAAAACAATGTTAATTATAGTGAAACTTTCTAAAACAGGACTAATATTTTTCTATAGTATATTTACCGTTTACATTTTACGAAAACATTGGGTACTATCAGTTTCAGTTAGGATAAAAGATATATCTACTTTTGAGTGTAAATGGGTTTGTTTTGTAACATAATAATAAATGGGTTTGTTTGATGTTACAAAAATCTCTACTCCACAAGAATACAAACGATCCAAATGCAACTCAATGCACCAAATCTTGGTTTTATTGGCAACTCTTCCCTAATTACAATGAGACCCTTGTACGTGTAACTCTTCCAAATATCACATAAATTAAATTAAATCAAACCAAACAAATTCAGTAAATCACATAGTGTCTAGGGATAGGATGTATGCAAACATTTCCTCTGTCCCATAAACAAGGTACTAATAATCTTAAAAATTAATGACCAAGTTACAGAGTCATTGTAATAAATCTTGGAAGTTTACCAAAACATGCAAAGGGAAGGATTTTCGGTTATTTAAGCGAAAAATCTCGTCTGTACCTTTACAAACCCATGTCAAACACAACGAACTAACGACCCACCACAAAGATTAATGAGAAAATATCACAAACAATCTCAAGCTTTTGTACTACAACAGGTCTTATGTCAGCTGGCTAATGATCTCACAGTGCCAACGATTCTCTTCAAATTTCACGTTGACCCTGCATCGCTGACAAAGTTTTTGACACATATCAGATCATTATTCGGTTATCCACCATATATATTTTCATTTGTTTAGATGTATATTTTAGAGCAGAATAGGTTCACATAAAACCAGACCAGACCAGACCAGACCAGACCAGACGAACACAGTAGATCCCACCTAGAGTTGGGATCCAGGGAGGGTCAGGGTAAGACATTCCCTATCGTCACACAGAGGTTCACATAATTATGTTAAATTTAAAAGAGTGCATTCGAGGTAAATGTTGTTCAATAATCACGTTTCCCATGTATCTGCAATAATCGTTGACCTTTTAGAATGCTCGGCTTATGCAATTACAACATGCTCTTACTTTGTTGACCTCAAAAAGAGTATAAATTCTGCTTACTTCCCTGTGTCTACAATCAAATCTATCAAAATCTACTATAATTGTAGATCGGAATCAAGTTGGTTATACAAAATCACATCATAAATGATACTGCTATAAGTTTTAAAGCAAATTCTAACATCAAGACAGATTTAATGTTTCTAAACTATTCACCTTTTCAGATTACCAAGAGAAAATTTGATCCCAAATTGGAAAAAGTGGATCCTTTTGGGGCAGTCAGATAATGAATTGATGTTTCCATAATCTATAAACAAACTATATATCTGGTTTAATCAAAGATCTTGTTACACCAAGCATAAGGGAATATTTCCAAAAATGCAGTAATTGAATAGTTAGGACATACAATTATCAAAGTAGGAAGCACTGCCATATAATCGAAACTGTACCAAACCAAACGAACCCAATATACCACTTGGAGATGGGGTCCAGGGAGGGTATCAGGGTAAGATGTAAGCAGACCTGACCTGTACCCTAAAAGGTAAAGCGATTGTTTCCAAGACAATTGGAACTATAAAAGTGAAAAAGAGAAAGAACTGTGCAAACAAAGCAAGAATTACCTCGGCCACTCTGCTGTCCAAACTGCTCATTGTTATGGTAAAAGTATGAACATCACAACTGCATAACTTTGTTTTGTTTGACACAAGCAGGTGCCTTAAAAGCCTGACACTTCCAGGATGAATTCCGTTCAACAGCCATCGCACCATTGGCAGAGGACCCTACAGAAAACGAGCTCCTAGAAGTACGATCTTCTTTGGGGGTTGCTTGATCCCTATCATGACAGATGCTTAAAGGAAGCTTCTTCTGTTTCATTCTTCCCCTCTTTCTACCAAGAATAGTGGTATCCTCCTCACTACATTTCGCCTTTGATTGTATTCTTTCTGCATTCCCGTTTTCCATTTTTGACTTTGAAGCGTTTTCTACTTCTTTACCAATGCTTGTTACCATTTCGAGGGGTTTACTGGCTCCATTGCTGGAAGGAGAAATCCCTTCACCAACTATACTTCCATTGTTAATTCTACCATTTTCAGAAGAGATTTTAAGCTTTTTATGCTTATGACTCTTTACGTCAGAGGGCAAACCACACTTTGAAATTCTAGGGGAGCTGTTTATGGCCTGATGCAATTGACGAGCTAACTCTTCATCATTTGTCTTACTTTTACCATTCTCTAACCTCGGTTTCTTATTGTTATACAACATTTGAACCTCAACTTGCTTTTTGGTTTTATTCTTCTTCAATTGTTGTTCCGCAGAAGAAGATATCTCCTGATTATCAAAACTTGCTACAAATTCTAATGCTTTCTTGGCGGCAGCCATGGCTTTGGCTGCTATTACCGCCTTTTCTTCAGCTGTCGCCCTTGCAGCCATTGCAACCTTGACTGCAACTTCAGCTGCTGATCTGGAAGCCGTCACAATCTCCTCTTGTGAAGGATTAGCGTTACTCAAATGAGCTCTCAATAAGAAACTGATACGGGCATCTAATTCGTTCAACGAGCTACAAGTGGATGGTGAATAGGAGTTTCCATTTCCATCACCATTCTGCTTTTTCAAACAGGCAAGTAACCGCTTTCGTGGAGGCAAAAGTACATCAGAGTCCAGATGATTAACATCACATACGTTTGCTTCCATTATTTGCTACATCAACGTAATATCTTCAAACAGTTTGGAAGCAATTCTTCTGCATGGAAATTGAAAGTAAAAGGAAAGAAAATTCATACCATCTTGTAGAATATAATCGATCAAAACATAAACAAGCAATCAAATCTCATTTCTATCGAAATTCTCCAAACCCCAACAACGGATTTAACCACTATAGTTAAATTCAGATAATCCAGATTCAATTCCACACAAACAAACAAACAGAATTACACAATTTCAACCCACTTTTAATCTCCCCAACTCAATACATTAAAAGCAACAAACATATTCGATCAAACAATCCCCACAAGAAAAGGGAATCAAGAGCTTGATTCAACAAATCGAAATCGAACTGATCGATTGCAGATGTGTTAATTCTTGAAAAAACACAATTGGATTTAGCAAATTAGAGAAAAATTGAACAAGAGTTGAAGGAAATGGAGAAGAAAAACGTACCTGATCGTGAGTGAAAAGGGGCATATGTTGTTAGAATTAGGGTTTTGAGATGTGGAAGGAAGATGGTCTGCAAGTAGTTTTGAGAGAGAGAATGAAGATCATATATATTGTCAGATAATTTCGATTGGTTCCAGTTCTAGAAACCCATAAAACGCAAATCCAGTAAATAAAATTTGTTAACCAGCCGTTATTCTTTCCACCTCGTTTTTACATTATTATTACATTTATATGCCATTTTGGCGTGAAATTACCAATTTGCCCTCCCAACATTATTAAGCGTTTACAGATAAGGGTCGTCACTCTATTTACCTCATGATGTGACATTTTCGGCCATCAAAATAGACTGATGGTAAGCATTTATAACCCGGTAAAAGTTATCCCTCTTACTTGTCCAATAAGACTCTCGATCTCTGTCTTCCCTTCAACTTGGTAAGATTCTGAAACCTTATTATGTTCACTGGTAAGATAAATGAACCGGTAAGCACTTACCAAGGTAAATGTTTATTAAACGACCAGGCCCGGTCCTAAGATTTTTGATGCTCGTGCGAAAATAATAAAAAATGTCCCTAAGCCAATAAAACAACGAAACATGCGATCCTTTAAAGAGTTTGGAACTTTGTCAAGCTAAGTGTCTCATCTCGATGTTGATTTTAATTAATTATAATAAAAATATACAATTGGGGGACATAAAACCCGAATACAAAATATAGAATGATAAAAGGTAAATACTGGATTAAAATTGTGTTTTCTTTTTCCCAGTTTTCTCTTTTTCAAATTAAAATTAGTAAAACAAAAATTTTATTTCAATATATGGAACTTAAAAGAGAAGGAAAACTATAATTAATTTTTAACTAAAATAGTAAATTACAGCCAAATTATTGTCATGGTAAACAAAAAGTAAAATTCAAAAAGTTATAGGTCTTACAACTAAAGTCTAAGGGCCTATTTGTTAGCACTTTAATAAGCTTAATGGGACTAACTTATTCGCTCAACTATGCATGATTGTTTCGTAGTGGCTTAATGATATAGAAAATGACTTATCCAGTAAGCTTCTAGGGGGAGCTTTATATAGAAAACCAAGTTTTCTTTTCTAACACATGTCCCTCCCAACTAAAAAACGCTCCTTACATCTATGAAAAAATTCTCTCAAACAAAAACTTTTTCAACTTATACAAACAGATTAATCCATACAGACAACGTTATCCATATAGAACTTAATAAAAAACCAATCAAATGGCCCCTAAATCTAATGCAGTTATGCCAAACGGCAAAGTTGACAAAAGTCAAAAGAACAATGATAAATTGTAAAATTCATAATCTATATTACTGTACATTGCAAAGAACAAGTGTCCAATAATTAAGACAATATCACAATATTTTGTTAATGTTGTGCAGCTTGCTCCAGCTATGTTGATACAGTGATGTATTCATGTGCATTGCAAATTCCAACTCTCAGATATTTCAAGATGCAAGAGGAAGACTTATTATCAAAATGACAAAAGGCCATTGGCCTTAACCTAGGAGGTCAGTAACCCGCACGACTATACATGACACAACTTTATGATAATCAGTTAGAAATTTAGATTTTTTTAGAAAAAGATTTAAAGATTCATAAAATCATAATATGACTTACACAGAAACTCAATATGTACAATCAACAGTATAAATCAATCATTCAAGATTTTCATCTTTGATTTCTTAAACCTAATCTCATGACTGTTAATCGGCTGGAAACGAAACTCAATACCTTAAAAATCGAAATAGTCGAACTTTAAAGAACAATATAAATTAGATTGCGTTGTTGAAATGATGGTGTTAACTGATTCACGATGTCCATTCAATATCCATCACTACTAAGCCTTGGGCCTGTTTTTATTGTTAAAGTTGAATTGTGCAATTCTCAAATTATTAAATTCAAAACTAGTAATGGAAGACAACTTGATGCCCCTTTAGGATTTGATGCCATATGTGGTTGCATAGGCTGCACGTGTCTAGGATCGGCCCAAACGACCCCTTAGAGTTTCAACAAAAGATTTTCCAAAATGAAAAAAAATAAGATTTAAGAATTTTCTATTTTTTTTCTATTCTAAAATATTATCGAAAATGAAGAGATTTTTAGAATTTGGAAAATTGGTTATAAATGATTGCTTAGGGGAAAAAATGAATTTTTCGTTATCCTCGCCAATAAAAGTTTTTTATAATTAAATTTTTAAAGTAGAATTAATATTTTAATAATATAATTATTATAATATTTAGAATGAGCAAAACTGTAGGAATGTAATTTTTTTTTTGGAATTTTTGATTTTTAAATCTCTAATTTAGAGAAATTTTATAGAATATGTTGAAGGTCTTTTATATATACAAAGGTTATGTTTGACAATTATAAGCTAGCTTATTGTTAACCTTATTTCAAAGGTTTTGTTTGAATGGATAGAAAGTAGTGTGAGCATAGGCGGGTACCCGTCCTATTTGACAGGAACCGGAACCGGCGGTTCTTGAGATATTGGAACCGGAACCGGTTAGAGCGGTTCTTGAATTTTTGGAACCAGAACCGGAACCGCCGGGAACCTGTTTCGGTTCCGGGTACCCGCTTTTTAAAATATTAAAACTTTGTTATTTAGAAATAAAAAATAAAACATTGTCAAAACACTAAATAAATAAACAAAAATACAAATTATACGGAATAATGATTACAAATATTGTTTAACGATTACAAACCATAATAGACTAATAGTAAATGTTGAAAGTTTAACGATTACATACTATTCAAAGTTTAACGATTACATACTACGAATCCAATTAAACACACAATTTGAAAAAATATGAATCATTTTATCTCAAATTTTGAATCTCGTTTCAACTTCTTGCATACTTATCGCATCCTCAACCTCGTACGGTACCCGTGAATAATTAAGTATAAAAAAAACTAGACAAACTCGTAAAAAACCGCACATATTTTTAACAAAAAACGACACAAATTTTATATAAAAAAACTGCACAAACTTTGTATAAGAAACTGCACAAATTATATAAGAAACTGCACATATTTTTAACATAAAACTACACAAATTACATATAAAAAAACTGCACAAATTATATAAAAAAATAATTATTTTTTTAATTGAAAAATACCGGGTATCCGCCGGTTCCGGTTCAGGGTACCCGCCGGTTCCAAGTACCCGGTCCCGGCGGGTAATGGTTCCAAAAAATTGAAAACCGGAACCATTCTTAATCGGTTCCATATTTTAGGAACCGAAATCATTCATATCGGTTCCGGTTCCGGTTCCGGAACCGGCAGTTCCAAGGCAGTTCCGGTTCCGCAAATAAGTACCCGGTTCCACTGCTCACCCCTGATAAAAAGTAACTTATAAGCTCCAAGAAATTTTCATCACTTTCTTCCTATTTATATGCCAATTTATTTAACTCGTTAAATATTACATCAACTTTTTTTAGCAAAAGGGTCAAACGTCACATATATAGCTTATAATAAGACATATATTCGACATCAGTTATAATTTTCATAAAAAAGTCTGTAAAATCATAAAATTCGATCAAGATGTTTTTTAATAAATGTTAGCTCCAACAAAATGGGGAAATAAGACATCCATATTTCAAAAAACCTTTGCAATTTATTTTGGAAGAGAAACAATTTGTATTAGAGACCGTTTACTAAACACTTACTTGGTAAGTGCTTACCGGATAAATTTCTTTATTGAATGAACATGAAAAGGGCCAAAAATCTTACCATGTAAGAGCGATTAGAATGAAGGAGAGTCTTACCCGGTAAGTGAGAATGATGACTCTTACCCAGGTAAACGCTTATCCAGTAAATTGTTGCATTCGATATGTTTTGATATATTAAAATTTTACGCATAAAAATAAATCATAATATTGACTTTTATCGATAAGCACTTATCGAATAAGTAATTGAGTAAACGTTACTTGTATAAAATTCATTTAAGAGAGAGAGTGAGAAGATGTAACATAAACATACCTTTTTATAATGGGAATTTTGAGAGTTTGGTGGGGTTTGAAGGTGAATTGCATTAAAAAAAAACAAAGGTTGACTCCTATTTTGTATAATAGTGTTAAAACCTTATCTTTTATATAACATCTCAAATATTCAGATATCTAATTTATTTTTAAAAATACATGATAATGTAACGTATTTTGGTGTAAATCATATTTTGTGTAAGGTACTTTGCTCTATGGGTTTGGGTCGTCATATGCAGTAACAAAATGAAGGTTCTGAAAGTACATTAAACATAACAAGAATCAGACCAAATTATATTGCATTTTCATGCGATTTGTTCTGTTATCAAATATATTGAATATTTTAAGAATACAATTTTGAAGACTTTAACTTTTGCTTCTCTATTTTAGATATATTATAGGAATGCAAAGATCACAAAGTATTTATCTCACTAAGATTATTGCACTCATAAAGAACACTTGTAGGAAGGTTATATCACTCAAATTCTTGTATACTTGATAGCGGGAAAATGTGTATGTTCACACAATGGGCACAATGTTCCCACAACGGCAATGCAAGTATACACCAACACTGTGATCGCTACAAGTAATAAAATGGTAAAAATACCGAAACCGTATCCACAGGGATCGGACTTCAAAGTTTCGAGTAGTAGGTTGAGAAAATACCGATTTCAGTTAGAGAAGAAGAAAATGTATTTAGCGAGTTTGATGAATTTCACAAAGAAATATAACAAGTAACTAAAAATGGGTATGGGTGTAAATGTTACCTAAGATATCAGTAGTAACAAGATCGTCAAATGTTTTGTGTCACAAAATTATCTATAAAGATTCGATATCTGGAAAGTGAATCTTTATATCGAATCTTTATAGATTGTGCCCACAAAGTGCCCACGAAGTCACCACTTTTACCAACCGAAGGCTTGTCGACCGAACTAAGTAGATTCCAGGGAATCTTTGTTCTACCAGTATAGACAGAATTCTTTTATCTCTATGTAACACTACCCTCGATCGACGTTTGAACTTTAGCTACAAAATCATGTAAAAAACCGTATCTCTACGTGAGTATGAAAGGCTTTTCTCAAATCTTCTTGCATCACTCAAGTCG